TCATAAATAGGGTAAGGGTTTTTGGGAAGCGGGCCACACACTCCCACCCAATATTTCTGGGAGTACACCTCCTTGCGTTCACCCGTCGTAAGCCTGTCACGCAGGCTAAAAAGAGAGTGCTGCTTTTTCCAGTTAAAACCAAGTTTGTTAAACTCTCAGTTATGGTCTCTTTTCAGGAAGTCTGCTTTTTAGAAGATACTGATCGCTTGGAAAGACGTTACAAGCTGCTTAATTCTAAATACTGCAATATGCACCGCATGAAAGTATCAAGCTACCGCCCATTTAGAAATCAACAACAAAAACTTCAAAAAAGATCACCAGTTATATTTAGAAGTTACAACAATCACGAGATCAAGATACATTTAAGCTAAGTTACATGTCTTTTATCAAAATATCATTTCTCTCTACTGATTGCCATACAATACTTCTAATGCTAGTCATGAGAATGCAGTGCGAAATCAATATATCTGACAGCTAATGATTTTCTTTGTTCTCCTCATGTCTGCCTCCTAGGCAGACATTCTTTGGGCTTGTCCCGCAATCTTCCTAGGAAGATTGCGTGACGAACCCAAAGAATGTCTGCACAGGAAGCTAGTCATCTGTCTGCTTCACTATGTCGTGACATTGTCAGGAGAAACAAGCAGTTGATCACTTGGGAATTAAACGGTTAAAAAGTGTTTGCCCAAGCAAGTTAAGAATGTCTTTTAATGTAAACCATTTATTTTATTGATAAATACTGCGCATTTTTATTAACAACATGGAATGTGACAAGTTTTGTTTACATTATTTCTTCGCAGAAATTCAGCTTTGCTTTGCAAACGTAAAAATGTGAAACACATGGCGAATATCGGAAAAATGAGATGAATGATATAGCCTTTTTTACATGCTTAAGTGATGGACCCTTGTGAAGTTTTGTGGTGAAGGTTGGTGAAGGCTGCCACACCAGGTTTACAGGAACACAAATATTTGTAGTTGTAATGCTGTCTGGATTCTGCACAGCTCGACTGATTGCCTAAAAGGCTATGTTTCATCATAGTATAAAACATTGAAAGGTGTGCTTTATTGTTTTTGCCTGGGTGAAATCTATAATGGTATCATAAAGCACACAAAGAAGCCTACAACATATATTGTAGTAACCCACCATGAAACACTTCAGGAATTCATGAAAACTTGAGAAATGTAGAAAGCACTTACTGATGATCATAAACTCTAAACTACTCTAACTCCCCTCCCTCATGTTTCAAGACATTATCATGAATGGCTTAAGTTCCTTTATTTGTTAAAAAATGTTATTGTTTAATGCAGTATTTTGTCCTTTTCCTTTCTCCAGTTGACAGGTTTATATATTATTGTGACTTTGCTAATTACACAACTGTAAGCAATGATGTAAACAAAGATTACCCAAAATGGTCTTTGCAACTGGTACTAACATGACCTTATCAATGAAGCCATGGACAGGAGAAAGCCACGACCAGAGAAGGCTGTAAGTACCAACTGAAAAGCTAAGTACGTTTCTAACAGAATTTAACCAAGTGCAAATGTTAAAATGTCATTTGATAGAGCACTTATAGCACACATTAGACAAATATAGAGTTTACGTCACAATGCCTTGGGTTTGAAGCTTCTACTATCTGTAATCTCACCCGACTACACAAAAACATCAACTGGTGATTAACATGTCTTTTCTAAAATGCAGCATTTGTTAAAGCCAGACACAAAGAACTTAATGAATTTACAGCTCAACTTGCCATTAAATTCAACTGTCTTTGGAACCATTCCAAGCTGACAAAGCCAGTTTAAAAGAAAACAGGAGAGGGAACATTTTTTAAGGTAGTTAGCTACCTTATGTACTTTACAGCTTTAACATAAAACTGCTATTTCCTGACGTCATTCCCCTGGGGGCAGCACAAGAGATCAAATCACTCATGAAAGCTGTCAGAATAAGGAATGCTGCTATGAGTACCACACTGGAATCAAGAACAAAATGAGCTTTTAAACTGATCATTAAAGATAACAAAGCCTCAAGATTATGCATCAAGACCATTAATCACGGGTTTCTGTGAAGTTGTTTGTTGAAGATTGCATTTTTTTCTGTCTTTTACTCAGGATGACGGGGGTGGTGGTCCAGGCGGCGGAGGAGGTGGTGGTGGAGGCGGTGCACCCATCAGGGGTGGTGGAGCCTGAAATGCATGATAACATCAATAAATTAGTGTTGCTGCCTGGACTAAAATGTAAAATAGTGATTTACACTAGAGGACACAAATGGACTGAAACTTCAGAGTTATCTACTGTTCACGAGAAGGTTATTTCAGGCTTGCAAGGTCAAATAATACTGAGGAATATTAATATGATCCTTCTAAGGGAACCTGTTCTCAGCAGACACCCTGTATTAAGCGGACAATAGAAAAGGTCCCAAGGGTGTCTGCCTAACACAGGTTTGACTGTACTCACATGTAGGTCCTAAAAAAGCTTTATTTCATGCAGAGATTCCTACTGCTTGTGACAAGGATCCTAACTTACCCAATGACTATCTGAAGGTGGCGGCAAAGGTGGGCCATGAAATGGAGGAAACCCTGGGGGTGGGGGTGGAGCAAATCCTGGCCCCTGACTCTGCCATGGTGGGGGTGGAACTGGACCAGCATCTACAAGAAAAAATGCAGATATGTCAAGTTAATTGAGAAAGGCTACTCCATTAAAAAACTTTCTGCAGTAAGACTAAATTGTGATTTGTGCTGCATGCTGTATGCTGTAGGGGTAAAATGACTCTCTAGTATACTTTGCATATAAAATTTAAGACTTCTTCCATACTTTTCCTTTTTTTCCTTTTTTTTCCAGACTTTTCACAACATTCGAAATTCCACACTTTATCTATACCATTATTTTCAATGTTTTCTCCAGATTATTCTAAAAAAGAAATTGTCTGTACTTACTTTGCCATGGAGGTGGTGGAGCACCAGATGATGGTGGGGGTGGGGGTGGTGGTCCATGTCCTCCAGGGCCCTGAGGAGGATATGATCCAGGCCCCCCTGGAGGGGGAGGAGGTGGTGGGCCACCAGGGTGAGGAGGACCTGTGAGGAAATATTAGGGAAATTCAGCCATCAATACCACTCTTAATAATGAAAATAACAGAACAATACAAATCAAGCCAAGGCCTTACCTAACAGTGGGCCCCCTGGAGGAGGCAGCAGGCCAGGTTTTGCCCATGGTGGTGCCGAGGAGCTGTTAGGGGGAGGGGGAGGTCCTCCCCCAGGCATGGGCACTGGCGTGCTCATTAGCGGCTTCGGACCAGGTGGGGCAGCCCAAGGTGGAGGACCAGATGATGATGGCCTATCGTGATTGGTATTCTGAAACAAGAACATAAAAGACTTTGCTTAGAATAGATTCCCAGCAGCTTTTAAAAGTCATGACCTACTTTTCACACACACAAGAAATGATACTACACACCACCACTTGACGATTAACAGAAATGGAAAAGGCATGATTACAGCACAAAGATGGTTAACTTTGAGACCAACCAACTTTGACATTTGGCAGTGAAAATCAATGGCTTTTTGAACAATGGACATAGTTGGAAAATTTGTACTGAAAGAGCTTGTTGTCCAACAAACATTTCTCCTACAGGGCAAGCTCTGAAAAAAGCTATGATTCTGACATTGGACTGGTGTAAACTACACAACACTTTACATTGGAGAGAGAGAAGCTTGACAAGAACTTGTGAGTTGTCTGAGAAAAAGTGACTCAGTTTTGCCATGAAAATGTTCTTGTTATTTTTGGGTGCTAGGTATGATGACAAACCTGCATAGGTGGGGGTGGAAGGGGAGCAGTGCTATGCCGTGGTGGAGGTCGTTCTCGTTCTGTTATTACTGGCCGATTTTGTTCCACCGGTGGTGGAGGGAGTCTTGCTGGCACTGGTGGTTCAGGCACGGGACCTTCTCCTAGTTCTGCCATAAGGGACATGTACTGAAAACAGAACAAGCACAGAAGTCAGTTCCATTATTATTGTCATAATAATGTCTATTTCCAAGGAAATACACGTTATCATGACAATAATAATGTCTATTTCCAAGGAAAAAAAATGTCTATTTCCAAGGGTTACAATTCAGCCCACTCCACATACTGTTGGTTTTATTCCATAGTTTAAAAAATACTAATCATGTGATACTGTTTTTGCTGTTAAACAAAGGTGAATCCTAAGCTGAACTGGCAGTGACATTCCCAGCCACAGCCCATAACAACTGTAGGCATCCAGCACTGGTCAAACTTTCTTCCCTGAGAAAAGGAAAAGGACATTGGTTTTCCTAGAGAGAAACATCTGGCCTGTGCTAGCCACTGACATTTCTAAAAGTTTTGACTGCAAGTGAAAATTTTCTTCATTGTCAGTTCAGCTGGAGCTCAATTTCTGTTGACATAGGTCCAAAAAATGTAAAATCAGTATCACTTGACCAGTATAATTAAAAGACACATGAACAAGGTTGAATTTTAACTAGTAAATCTGATGTCATTAGTCATAAAACTAAGACTTAGAGTCAATGCAAACAAGCCGCCCTCATACTCAAAACAATGACACTTTCAACATGTGAGTTACACAGCAAAGTTTCAACATAAAACAGAGTCATTTAATCAGCCTTACCTCACTATCCATTTTTGCTTTGTCAACCTGGACAATGGGGATCGGCGGTAAACTGAAAACAGACATTGAAAGCTATTTATACAAGGTTTTGGTTCAGTGTTTACCATATTATTATATACTGTGCATTTTAAGTCTGTTCTTGGATGCAATTTGTCCTTAAAATTGACTTACATGGAAAAATTAGAATTGATGACATGTTGCTGTTCTTTAACATTACATCATTACTTTCCACAAAACAAAGTTAAATAGCTAAATAAGATATTCGTGTTTAATGATAAGATTGCTGTCAAAAGTGGCTGGCTGAATTTCCTGACCTCACCCAGAGTTTCTGTGCTGCGATTTCAACCATTTCTTGCTTGATAACCTGTAAGGGTTGCCTGTTTATTTTTGATAGTTTGATGACTTACTCTGTCTGGATGCAGTCTGTGGCTAAATGGCCTGCAGCTCCGCACTTTGTACACAACACATTATTTGTCACATTTTTCTGTTCTGGACACTCCCAATGACGATGTTCCACTGATCCACAGTTTCGGCATCTACAACAAATAAACAAGGACAGAGAAGTGAAGTACTTGTACTATAAAGCAACAAATAACTTGATGGTGGTAGGCAGCCAACAATGTGAGAGCAATTCAGGGACCCCTTTGCACAGTCATGTATATTTTGAACACTCTTGATTATTTATATATGAGTGAAAGTGTATCAATCATTAATAAGCTATAATTGAACAATCACAAACAAAACTATCAGTCATAAGAAACAGCGAACCTTGAGGACAACCATTGGATTTTAAACGCACATGTGTATTAACAGATATTAAAAAAACACGGTTTGAAACCGCTACTTACAGCAATACATTCATTGTTTACAACAGTACAATGTATGCATCACAAGATTATAAAACTTTTAGCCATTGCACTTTAACTTTAAATCTAATGATGTACAGTGCAGGTTAACAGTGGTACAATGTTTAAGGCTCCAAGGAGGTATCAAGTTACCTCAAAATCTCATCATCTCTTAGAGTTCCGTTCAAAGCAGCTAATTCTCTAAGCTGCATCCTCTTCAGGTCATTTTGTCCTTCAGGGGCTTCTATACCTTGCCGCAGTATGTCACGTATCTATCCAAAGAGTACACAGAGATGGATAACCATGATTATTATTTAAAACTGGATCACTGGCCAATGAAATTCAAGAGTTTTCAATGACTTAGCCATCATGGGTTATGAGCCATTATTAAAACCCGGATCACTGGATAACACAATTCAAGAGTTTTCATTGGCTTAGCCATGATGGGTTATGAGCCATTATACCATGCTCTACAAATATGGCAAGCGTACGCGTGATTTCTTGGGGCGTTTATTTTATTTTAGTCTAGTTTGCTACAATTTGGGGGCAGTTTCAATAAAACATTATTCAACTTGCGCTTGTTTGACGTGAGATGATTATAGCCAACTTGGCACTACACACCTTGTTGGCAATCTACCATCTCATATCGAACATGCGCTTGTGGAGTAATTGTTAATTATACCATGTTCCACAAATACGGTAAGCGAAAGAGTAATTTTTTAGGGAGTTTTTATACCTACTTTAATTTTAGTTTTCTATATTTTGGGGGCGTTTTTAATAAAACAATTATTTCACTCAAGCTTGTTGGATGTGAGATGGTTATAGCCAACTCAGCGCTACATGCCTCATTGGCTATCTACCTTCTCATATCCAAACCATGCTCATGGGATTATTGTTAAATATACCAGCATGACGATACACCAGTCCATCTCTTAGGGCTTTTCAGTATTTACAGATAATAAAGATAATAAGTAAAACAGAGTAACACACACCATTGCTACAGCTTTTTGCACTGACTGTTCTGTTGGACCAGTAACCAAGGCATGCAATGCTTCATCCTCTCCAGGGTTAGGCTGTCCATCCTTTCTTCCCTATAACATAGACATGATCAAAGGTAACAACTGTGTCTAGTTAGATAATTCTAAACTGATTTAAACTGGGATAATGAATAATGACAGAACCAAAATATAAACCCTTACATTGTGAATCTTTCCTTCTTTTATGGAGCCCTTTCCTCTGATCATGATTTTAGCACAACTCTGAAAATAAAAAGAAAATAATAAAAAAACATTTTATAGAGCATCTCTTAAAAAAATAACAAAAATAGAAAAAAGAACATTAAAAATAAAAGTTTATAGATTATTACATCTAAACTTTTTATGCTTCATTTGATCCAGACTATTGAAAATGTTTTTCTTTAAATGCTGCTTAGCCATGAGCTGATATAACCATGTAACATATTTACCTCTTTTTCCATTTTCTTTAGTGTATTCCCCCTGCGACATAAGAGAAACAAATAAAATTATGAATCATCTGTAAACAGATGGTATACAGATGGTACACTATTGTATGTAAACCTGGCACACTGTATACATGTAGCTAGGTGGTAATAAAAGCAATTTTTGAGGAGGCATAATCATCACAGGTTCAGTTGAAGTCCTCAATATACAGCAGAAAATTTATACACCTATACAACAAGCAGGAAAGTGTTCAATAAATCTAAATAGAAGTATCACAAATCATATTGCTGAACATTTGAAAGAGGAAAGAGATATCGCAGGCTTACCGAGGTCCAATGAGTAAGCCAATGAAGTTCACTTCAGGGTGATTGTCTTGAGGAATCATAACTTTATCCTGAATTTTGATGATTGGTGGCCTGCACAAGAAGAAAAGTTTTTTTTTTTAAAGCTAACACTCAAATTTATGAAGATAACATTATTAAAACACCAGACAATTTGCAACCTTTTTACACACCAAAATTTCTTGAAGACGTGTTAACCTTAGTAAGAGTGACTACTTTGCTTGAAGTGTGTCTGTCTTGCAGAAGAGTCCATCTTGGACACATTTTGATTAGGGAGTTGTCTGCCTTAGAGCAGAGTTTTTCTTCGAGAAAGGTCTTCATCTTAGAGCAGTGTCTGTCTCAGTAAAGTGTTTTATTAAGAGGTCTATGACTGTCCACCTTAAAAAACTGTCTGTCTTAGATGGGTGACTTATTATTGACCACTCAAACTAATTGGTAAACAGCAACCATAACTCACTTGTAGTCTGCTGGAGGTTTGTAATCTTCATTTAATATCTGAGCTTCCTGTATTAACACATGTCTCTCCTCTTCCAGTTTCTTTCTGACTCGGAACTCACGTGTGTTCAACCTTTTGCCCTCTGAATTGTAAATTGGTTCTGGAGAAGGAGATCTGATTTGCAGAAAAGAAAAGATTGGCATGTTACAAAACCAAACCACAGGCAAAAAATCCAGATTGCAGGGTTCTTATGTGATATGTACCTCTCATCAGGGTTATCTGGTATTCCTAACTCTCCTGTTCGTAGCATCCTGGTAATTTCTTCAATCTTTAGTTGGGCTGACAAAGTAGATGAAAGACAAAGATAGATTATTGACCACCGGAAAGGTTAATATGAGCTTCTTAAATAAAGGATTAAGTTGTTATGCTGCCATCTTCACCAAGCAATATTAAACAATAAAAGACATAAAACAAAGCTTCTAAATCCATATGAACTGATAGCCTGTTATATTACAAATTACATTCTCAGGCAAGTGTCATCATTCTGAAGAAAAGATACAAAGCAGTGAAGGAAAAACCAACCGGGTCTATGCACATTTAAACTGCACAGGTTTGGCCACAAACAAAATTCAAAGAATAAACCAAGATAGATAGAATGAAATTCATGACAGTTGCTTGAGAGGATAGCACATTAAAAGTTTTCATCAACATCTTTAGCAGGAGGGCAACTGGTTTTCACAGGTGGGCAAAAGTCTTAGCAGTGCACCTCTTTAAAACAAAATCTTTCCTCTTGATGATCAAACCAGGCAGGCAAAATAGTTCTCACAGCTGATAAATTTGCTGGCCTTTAATGACACTCATACAAAAGTCACATCTTCACTAGAAGATTTATACTTCAAACAACCTTAACCCATTAACATCTGGAGCTCATTGCCAAAAATGTATCTTTTTCACCTTTTGGGCATTTTCAGCCTGGATATGAGCCAAATTAGTTCCAGTCTACTCAAAAAGACATTTGCAACATGACAGCATGCCTTTCTTTCCACTAGCATTGCATTTTATGACGTTTTTACCTGGGCATAAGCAGAAATCAAAATTCTGAGAGAAAGTGATCTACGCCTTTAAGCTTTTTGGTTTTTCTTTTGACTTTCCTTTTTCTCCTTTTCTTATCTTTTTGCTGCAGTGGTTGATCTTCTACTAGGCTTTCTTCCAGTTAAAGAATTCCTGAGAAAGCATCATTGAGATGGGCAATTCTTGTCATGGAGTAGCCAAGTGTAGTGGAGGGAAATTTTGCTGCAAGTTTTTCTCTCAAATTTCTGAGCATTTTCGTGCATATTTCATGCTCAATTGATCCAGTCACTCTGATCTGGTTATCATTGGATACATTAGATGGTTTCCTCCTGCAGAACTTCAGTATAAGTAACTACAAAAGTTGGTCAAAAGCGGTGATGTCAGAAGTGGAAGAAAAGGCCAACGCTTGTCACGGCTGGCACAGGCGTTAATGGGTTAAGAAAATGAATCTTGAGAGTTTTGATGCACACTTACCTATGTAAGCCTGCTGTTGTTCTGGTGAGAGATTCGGCGGCATGGTTGTAGGCATGCCAGGAATGAACGTTCTTTTTTCTTCTGTACCCCACCTGCTCTTCCTTTTCTTTTTTCTTTCACCACCTTCAAGGAACATATTTTAACCAAATGTTATCTGACTGATGATGTTACAAACAATTAAAGAAAATCAGAAATACACATGTAGTTATCAATACAACGCCTAAAAATATAACTTTGAGTTTTTTTCAACATCTCAACATATAGCAATTTAAGTCCATATTTGAGAGTTAGGGTTAACAACAAAAAGAAAGGTCTATGAAGGAAAACTGATGGTTAGTAGTTGGTTAATCAGTGCGTGTACAGCAGTTCTTGTTTTCGTGGCATTAGGGACAGTTTGGAGGTTTCCTGGAGTGGTATGTTCTTTGAGAGCTGTGGTGGTGGTCAGCTTTCTTCCTGCCCTTAAATTCACTGACATGTTTGTGTGACGGGTGCCTGTTCCTTTACGTGGGGCTCTCGTGGCAGGTCGAGGAATGGTTCTAGCTATGGGATTGTCAATCTAAGGGCTGGTTGCCCATAGAGGAAACCCCAGGTACCCAACCTCCATTAAAAAATACAGTTGAATAAACTCAACAATTGCATTTTATTCACCAAAATTTCTAACCAATGGTATTTGTTCTCTTCAACATTGTTACAATTCTGATTCTCCTCATTGACTACTCGCTCATAGAAAACTTGGACTTGTAGTCTAATCGTTAATTAGGTTTGTACTACATTGCTTGTTAGCTAGACAAATGAATAGTTATAATGGAACGGAAGGATGCCAAAATGACATGATGCAGTTCACAACATACAGGAACTAGACATTTACTACCATAACCCTTTTGTGGTCACTGTGGTTTAAATGGATCTATAAAGGCAGTTTGACGTCTCCATGAGTTGGAAAGCTAAGTTAGGCCCAGGTCAAACATCTAACTTCACGTGAGATGCACTAAACCAGGTGAATTAATTCATCATAAGTTCGACATTTGACTCAACTGACATCCACTCAAACTGCAATTTAGTTCGTCTCATGTAAAGTTCGATGTTTGACCTGGACCTCAAGTTTTATTAACTCGATCAGAGTCTATTTTCGTCTATATGAGTGCAATACACCATTTCCCCCATTTTTATCATCTGTATATTAAAATTTTTACGTCAAGAATTGATAGAGAAGATGAAATAAGAATATCATTGTACCATTTTCCCACAAGGTATTTCTTCTTCTTTCTACTTCTCTCTCACTCAAGAGCCGCAAAAGATTAGACTTTCAATTGAAGCTCAGGTCGATAGTAATTAAACTTCACGAGTACACAATAGTCACGACTTTTCACTGACCGATTTTCCACAAATCAAAACTATAACTCCAGCACACATAAAAGACTTGTTTGGGTAAGTTTGAAGTGTCTTATCGTACACACTTACCTCCGACATCGATGTCTGAATGACCGGCATCTCGTTTGAATCCAGGAGTTGGACTCACTGGTCCCTGTTGTTTAGCGGCTAATATAGGGTGTAGACGGCCAAGAGGAGTCGTATTAGCCCCAGTTAAAGACATAACAACTGTCTAAATTATCCACCACAAAGTTAAAACATTCAGAAGTAAGCCTGGGACCAAAAATGTCAAGAAATTCGAACAAACATTCGCTCTTGCCGAAAAATATCGCAAAAGCCACGATATTCTCAAGAATTGTAAAGCATCATGGTTAACGTACTCAAGGGACACGCGCAGTTGATGAACACGTCATGTAAAGTTCATGAAAATATCCAAGAAATGAAATAAATTTCACGCTGCCAAGGTTGGAAGTGAAAGTGCAGAAAAAAAATCGCGACAAAAAAAGATTCCCTTGACAATTTTCTTTCAATTTCCGTGTGTGTAGTATCGATAAAACAGTGGCAGGGAACATTCTGAAATTCTTAGAGGCGACACAGAGTTCCCCCTCCTACCAGGGCGCTCGCGCCGTTTTCCCTGCTCCTACCCCCCTCCCCTCTACCTCTTGATACCCAAATGTTTTGCGGAAGAGAAGCGAAAAAAGCTAAAATTATGCGCGAGGAAAAAATAGCCTACAGGTTTTCCACGTCAAACACTAACCTGTTTGGTTTCTGATCACCCAATCTTTCAGTCTCTTTCGCAGTCGTCTTTAAAGAGAGTATCAATGGCAAGGTGGCTTTTACGGTTTACGATTAACATTTTGGCTTTTTTACGGCTAACAGTTAGGTAATTTGTTTTCTTTTACGGTTAACAGAAATCTTAGAAATTAATTAGCATAGTTTAAAAGTTAAAATTTAATTTTCATTGTTTAAAAAAGTTAAAAATGCATTTTGATTGCTGTAAAACATACCAGCTGCTGCTGTTCGGGAAATATCAAGCCTAATAAGATGGCAGGGATAGAAAATATCCCCAAAACTTAAGATCTTGGGCCTAAAAATTGGATCATTTTAACCTTTATCTGTGACAAATGTTAACCGTAAAAGAAATTTAGCCACGAAAGTTTAAGTCTGAAGATCTCTTGTTTTGTTTGTCTTGTCTTGTGGCTTGATAATACAAAAATGGTATCACAATACATTTTTCCATCCCGGAATAGTCCAAGACCTTTAATGCCCGTAGTCGAGTCTACTATCTTACTAATAAAACGTAAAAAAGTTTGTTGGACAAGACTGATAAAAAAGTCTTAAACATCAAAAGTCAAACCAGTCCCAGGTCTAAGAAACAGAAGTAAACTGCAGCACAAGAACGGGTAAATCATTTTCATTTTTTAAAATGTTTATTATCTCAACTACAATTTATTTCATATATTCATTACGTTAGAAACCTTTCGATGAATTTCCATACAAACTCTTACAGTTTGCTCATTTCGTATGCGCGGCTTTCACAGTGTGAATTTCGACACTCTGAGACTATTTTGGTTGTTATATTCATGGCAACTAAATTGTTTGTTCGCTAAAAGTTATAAGAAAATAAATATCAAAGCCTCCAGGCCTTGCAGACTTTTAAGTTCAACATTCGTTGGTCTCCGGAGATGGTTCTCATTCTTTCTGGAAACCAAACGATCCCGGCATGCACTGCTCCTCGTCGTGGTCTTCATCCTGGGTGAACAAGGAGGCGAGGTCACCTAGCGTCAGACTGGAGTTCTCGCTGTCACGTGCTCCGGGTCTGTAGAGTGAAATAAAAAGAGATTACTAAGCGTCACGTTTAAGGCAATCGGCAAAATTACTTTTGAATTTGTGCTCTATTCTCCTAATCCTTAATAAATCACACAAAAAATACGAAAACGTCTCCTACTACAATTTAACCCCTATTAAAAGACCACCCTCGGGGAAATGGGTAGTGGCGGCTTAATTACAGGGGGCTGGCCGCTTAATAGAGGTAAAAGCAATACAAAAGCCCTCATTGGGACTTAGATTACTGGCCGCCCAATAGAAGTGGCCGTTTAATAGGTGGCCGCTTAATAAGGGTGCGACAGTATTCAGTGTAAATACAAATATTTTCAACCTATTGAAACAGCAGAAGACAGACGGCAAAGTTTCATTTTTGTCGTTAACCGCAAACGCATTGCTTAACCCCTTTACAATCAACAAATCAAATAGCCCGCTATAGCAAAGCCTGAGGGGATAGTGAGCGTGCAAACGTTTAATGTGTTGTTTCAGGTTGGAGTGGGGGAAGAGAGAGAGGGAGTTATAACTTGGTACCTAACACAGCCAGCCGGCTTTGACTGCAACAAGGAATGCATCCGAGACTCGACAGTTCCTCGTATGATAAAACGGTACACGTGAGTGGGCCTGTGGAAAAATAACAACAACAACGACAGTGATTATTTTTTTCTGTCACTGCACGACTTCGCTAAAAGATCGCACGATATTTAGAGAAAGAGTTAATGTGTAGTTTAGATGCCGTTGCAAATTTTGTGTAAGTGAGGCCTCGTCCACACTACGCCGGAGAAATTTAAAAACGCAGCTTTATTTCTACGGTTAGGCCTACCGTCCACACTAATCCGTCACGAAAACAGAGCTTTTCGAAAACGCTCTTCACACCAGAGGAATTTAAAAACGCTGGCTTTGCGTTTTAGTATGGACAAACAAACATTTTCAAAACAGAGCTTATCAAAAACGTTGAGTTTGCAATAATCATGTGATTTCCCCACTCGAGCTTTCCTCAAACACAAATCCAAAATGACCGATGATTGTTCCGTTTTCAAATTTCTCCGGCGTAGTGTGGACGGTGGAGTGAAAGGGAATAAGCAGTGTGGACGGTACCTGAAGACTTGCATATTACAAATTACCAAAACTCATTAACCAGGGGAAACGGTCGAGATCTATCTCAAAGTTCTCACAACGTAAATTAAATGAAATATTTGACAATGCTTGAGGAGATTTGAGACATACTTAGTTTGTCCAATGCGGTGTACACGACCCACAGCCTGTAATTCATGGGCGGGGTTCAAGGCAGGCTCCACTAACAACACGTGTGTCGCTTCAATGATGTTCAGGCCATTAGAGCCTGTCTGTAGAGGCAGAAGAAGCACACCTACCAGGGAATCCTGCTTGAACGTTTGAAGGTTTGACTGAGGAGAAGAAAACACATAATACACTTGAACTTTTAATCACTGAAGGACATCTGCTACCGAGACCGGACACACTCAACTTTGCTCCGCAGACACTCATTTTGATATTTGACTGTGTTTAACTGGACACTATTAAACTAAGTTGGTTGTCGCATCTACAAGAGTTGAAAAGTAAAGTTCACTGGGTACAGCTCCCTGGTCAGCTGACCAAAATCTCTGTGCGTGCGCACAGCAAGTAACTAGACCTCTAGACATCGGTATGGAATTGCTCTGATCGATTTTCGGCCGTCTCTCGAACGACAAATAGAAATGAACGAGAAGAAGTCTTCTTTCACAGGCTGAACTTGGATACGCATCGTTAAGGGTCTAACAAATTTTCATTGTGCTGTGCTTTCGTTAGACAGGTGACAGTCTGTTTTTCTCTCGAAATTCAGCAGGGATTATGAGGCAATACGATCGTGTAAGATGCCCGTTATCGGCCAGGATACAGTATTCAATACGAGGATAAAGAGAAATTAAGAAGCCATAGTTATCACGCCAAGTCGCCTTACGTAGTTAAGCGTTTATATACCAGCACCAGCAAACATATATGTGCACGCCGCTATAAGCCAAAAACTCCAATCGCACTCCGGTACGCCGCAAATTTTAAAGGCCATTCCGAAGATCTTCGGCGTAACTCACACTGAACGCATCCTGGCCTTTTGCGTTGTCGATCGCTAAACACTCGTCTAAATGACCTAAGAGAAAAGACCGGCTGTCAGCAGCCTATGCTTTCGTCTAACTATCAGCTCTGTGGAGAAGGTCAGGTGATTACCTGGAAAAGTCTGCTTCCAGTGATGTGCCTATATTTGATGCCATTCTCTTCCAACGCTTTTGCCAAGACACCAAGCACCTCCTGCCACTGCAAGAAAAACAAAATATTTGCAATTAGACAAAAAAAAAATAAAACTGCTGGTAAACCTGGAAGCTTACAGAGAAACTGGGACTTATAATAAATAAATCTCAGTTCCTGTTACATGAAGTGGCTTGCAGCATTGCTACCCTGCCCTGAATGGGATGCTAGTCTGTCGCAGGGTTACCCCTAGCCTTCTGTCAGATTGCCCCTGGCCAACAATTTGAGAGTACCCAGGGCATTTATACACCTGGGTGGAGAGAGACACCGTGAGTGTTTCGCTCAAGAACGCAGCGCAAAGACAGCATCCACAGGTGGACTGTTGACATCATTAGGTTTTGATAATGTGGCGGGATGAAAAATTATGAACTTACTGTTGAGAACACGAGACACTTTGCCGTACTGTCTGACGACTTAATTGTCAACAAGGTACGCACAACTGCTTCAACTTTAGTCGAATGGCTGCCCTGGAAAAAGCAAAAGAAAACAGAATTAAACAGATTGAAGTGCATCATTAAATTCCCTCAGTCAACAACTCTTCTAAAGTGCAGTACTTTTGGTCTGAAAATTTGTGATCCATCACGACAGTAGTGAGAGGAGTAAATGAGGCGTGTTCCCCTGATGCAACACTTAATTCTTACAGCTAACGTACAGGAACTGTATGACAATCTGAAAGGAGAATTAGCACGAGTAATCATATGGTGACGAGTGAAATTAAACAATAATTTCACGCGCATTTTGGCAAAAATTCTTATACAATGTAATTTTCCGAGCCTTCAGGCGACGGAAATTATTAGAATTTAGATAAAACATAAGTGAAATTATTTCCTTATTTCACGAGTATACCATTTGATTACCTTTTAATATCGTGGGCGACAAATTACGCTTACAATCGTGGGCTTTTGACTTGTTTATTGTATCGAGAAATTTCGCGCCAAACGTTGCCATGGCAATAGGCCCTTTTCACGATCCGGTCACCACACATTCTGGGACGCATATTGTACAGTGGGACTTCCAAAACAAAGGCAGGTCCAGGTGGACTGGTACGAGTTGCTTTGTTTTGGAAGTCCCACTGTGCAACTCGCGTTCCAACATGTGTGATTTTATACCATGTAACCGGGTCATGCAAAGGGCCTATTTGTAATAAATTAACGCTGAAATGTCGGGCCAAAATTAAGGAGTGATTTGTCACCCATGATATTACTATTTCAAGCTTGAGGCTGAACGGGATAAGTACCTTGACTGTGACATTTTCCTCTGTTTCTTTCGTCTGGCTCCTTGTGGTGCTCACGTAGGAGATTTCCTGTGCAAGGGTAGGTATCCGACACATTGGGCACTTAACATGTACGTTCCTCTGGCGGGGACCAATTCCAGCCTGTCGTAAGAGCACCCAGGCACACTGGCAGCATACACAGTGACCACAAGAGAAAACGCTCCACTGAAAGAATGACAGAGGATAGCAACATATTTAAAAGGTAAAACTACAGAAATATGTGAAGGTAAACGATTTTGACGAAAAGGGCCTTGGTTGGTTCATTTACCTGGACACCTAGCTGTTTGGTGCATACTGGACATGGTTCAGGATTTTTGCCATCGTGGCACGTCTGGGTCTGAAAGACAAACAGAAAAGTACTGTATGTATGCAGCCTGAATGATCTAACACTGCAGTGATATAAGCTACACTGAGAAACTGTACATCTTCAATGGCAGGTCTGTGCTAGAAATGTAGTATGCGAAAATAAATATAAAAGGCTTTTGAATACACATAAGCGTTAAGTGCTTCTTATCAAATGCTTTACCTTCGCCAAATTGTTGAGGTAAAGAAGCTGACCAAGTTTTTTTCTCAGTTCAGTTTGGGCGACTATTCGATCGGACATGAATTTCAGGCGCTGTTGTTCCACCTTGGAAAGGAAAAGACTGATGAGCCAATGACATCATGCATACAGAGTTAGGGCCGATTTACACGGTACAACTTTGTCGCATGCGACAAGCTTACGACAGGCCTGCGACATGACTTGTTTCGTGTAAATCAAACCTACAACTCGCTTACGACTGTTGTGTACGTCAAAAAAAAGGTCGTAGGATTTTAAAACATTTGTTAAAACGCTGCGATTATCGTAGCCGAAGTCGATAGAAAATGACGTATTTTGTGACAAATTTCTACTGAGTAGGGGACGAAGGCGAAGTGTTCTTGCGTCAAAATGGCGGACGAAGTTGTTGTTGACTGATTCACATGAGGACGTTTCTCGAAAAGTATTGAACGGATTAAAGCGAAAAACATCTCTTTAGAAAGTTTTTTCAAAGCGCAGGACAGCTAAAATGTACTTTTTTACTGTTTGTTAGAACTTTCGCTCCGAAAATCCAGGTGCAAACTTTTGCTTATTTAATTTTGTAAGTGAAAATGTCGAGCGCGTGTAAATGGTCCTAAGTCATGTCGTAGGCCTGTCGTAAGCTTGTCGCATGCGACAAAGTCGTACCGTGTAAATCGGCCCTTACAATCACAATGGACGTCGGAAAAATTTTTGCGAAGAAATCAAAGAATACTTGTAGTGGATGGATAACATGAATATCATCTGTGACTGGCTCTCCTGGCAGCAGAAGCCTGAGGCGAGTGGTGCACATGTCCAGCTCATCCAGAGAGGAGATTCGTTCGTGAAGGGCAAACCATAGAGCTCTAAGAAACTGCGAAATAAAACACACAAAAAGCTACAGTGAATGCACTTACTGCTAGTCCACGGCCAGGGCTCAAGCCCACAGGAATAACCATTACCAACGTTCAAAAGGAAATAAAAATGGAAAACTGATAAGGTAGAAAAATGTCAGAGTGTCATCTTGTGAAAAATCACAAATGTTTTGGGCATAGCCCTTCTTCAGTGTGAAACCGTTCAACCGTTCAACCGCAGAGAACAATTTCTTTCTTTTTGTTCATCCTAAAAATTTACAATAACCATTTGACCACCGAGTCTCACCAAAGTAACAAAAGCAAGAAATAGAAGAATTTCCGTGTTATAAGACATTATTATTTGTTCTGAATTGTGAATTTCGATGAATTAATTAATTAAAGCGAAAGCAATAAAGACCTCAGTCAGACCTATCATTCTCACTTTCACGCTTTTCTAGATTTTTACTGTTACCATATATAGGCTAATTAGTCAACGTTTTCCTGGCAAGACAAGCAACACCGCGTTTAATGAGCTTTGAATCTAGTCAATGATAACTGTTCTACAGCGTACCTTAAATTCCTTCCTCAGTCCTTCAATTAAGTTCAAATGCAACCGACCTTCTTGAAGCAGTTGTGCAGTTGAAGCGGTTTCTGTTGAAAATGAAAGAATCAATTTTCATTATTCTTTAAACCCCAAAATTCAGAATGCGCGTTTACCATGTGTGCTGTGAATTTTACAAAGCAGAGCGATTTTCAACTTACTGTTAATCTTGATGAAGCTATGCACCACTCGCAGAACCTTTTCAACCTCAGAGTCCGCTCTCAGGCCTCCAGTGTTACCATGGCGATGCCAATCAAGAGACTCGTCAGGCTGCAAACTTTGAATAGAGATAAAAAAAAAAGCTTTCACCTTCAGACATTGTCTTGATTTACAATCAGAATCTCATAACTATCATTAAGAGAAATGTGCGAGAATCAGTTGGGAGAATTCAAAGACGGTTTCTTACCCTTGGTCGTCGACTCCCTTCATCCCTTGGTGACCGAATATTCGTGATTCATATTCTGTGAAAATGTCATCTACTTGACAAAATGCACACCTGGATAAAGAAACAAATAGATTTACTTCAATCTGAAGATAATCTTGGATGCTTTCGACACAAACTATACGCGAATCTTTGACGACCACTGTTCATACATTTCTCCTCATTAACATACGACTTTGCGCATATAAGGCACCAGGCTAGACACGAATTGACTTCAAACATTTAAAGAACTTGTGAAATGTAGTAATTGGTGAAATTTTTCGCTCTTTGAATGTAATATTCGAGGAGAAATTGGCTTTCGAAACCTGCAACATTTCTCATTGGGTGGCAAAAGCGCTAGTGAGCTCAAACTCTTTGGAATATTTTGAGCTTTTGAACTTGCTTCGCACAAAAACGTATCCAATACATCGGGCTCAAATTATTTGGGACAGTTAATCGTGCTATGCCATTTCAACATTCAGGAGTAATGTTTTTGTAGCTCCATCAGAAACTNTTGCTTCGCACAAAAACGTATCCAATACATCGGGCTCAAATTATTTGGGACAGTTAATCGTGCTATGCCATTTCAACATTCAGGAGTAATGTTTTTGTAGCTCCATCAGAAACTGTATCGCTTATGATAATGAGGTAAATATTGTAAACAAAGATTCTCCTATGGCCATACTTAAACTGTCTTTTACTTGTTTTGTGGAAAAATAAAATTTTAGAAGAAGCTCTCGCAAAAGGAGGCGTTTTGGGAAAGCCATTGTTCTATATTTCTTAACTGTATATTTTGGAATTCACATTACTGTACAGCCGTCTACATACCTAAGAGAATGGTTGTCCTTTGCTGGCCGCAAACAACACTCTGCACTGGCCTGGACCATCTGAGACGATGGGGGCACCACAAGCCTGTTCAGGGCTTCCAACAAGTTTTTATGAGTTGACTGTAGTGTAAGAGGTGAACGAAAAAAAAAGCGTTGATTACGGCTTTGTGTCATGCATTGACATCAAAGTTGCTTGCATACTTCGTTTTGCCTCTAAGTTATGAGTTCCAAGATATTTCGTCTTTGAACAAATGGCCTTTGCCACTCAAGATAAAGTCTGCATTGGGCCAAGTGCTCCAAACTGCTAGAGTTTATCCCAGTTTCCGTAACATTTCTTCTCCCCCCTGAATGGGATGCTATTCCATTGCAGGGTTACCCCCAGCATCAAATTCGCCTGTACCCATTTACACACCTGGGTAGAGAGAGGCACTATAGGAGAAAAGTGTCCTGCCCGAAAACACAACACAATGTCCCCAGCCAGGGCTAGAACCCGGAACACTTGATTCAGAGTCCAGCGCGCCAACCAGGAGGCCACCTCCCACTAAGTCACTCAAGATACATCTAGTCAAAAGTTTTCTTTAATTAAGGCACCTGTCAATTATGGTCTCAGAGACTAGCTCATATGCAAGTGTTAATAGTTGGAGTTGGTTCTTATTAAACTGGTTAGTATAACAACAATTATGTACTATACGGCATTTCATGTTATCTTGTACATATAAGGATTTGGCGTTGAACAAATCATTCTACTCTTACCAAAATGTGGATCACTAGGTCACAAGTACAACCAAGATTTTTTCAAAGTCCGTCAATCGCTTTTTGCATCTTCATCCCTTGTCCTTTGCTATTTTATTACTGAAACACAAGTTAACTTGTGCCATGTAGTTCTACATACCTCGATCAAGTCAAGCTTGGATGAAACAAGATACTGCAGTCCATGAAGGTCCTTAAATCTGAGAAATAACATAGACAAGCCAAATTCCTTTCAGCCACTTCATGATCATGTAAGTAAGAGTGATTGGATCAAGTGGAGTGCAATTCAGAGAGTCTTTTGAGAAGTCTTTTGAGAACTTCCTTTGAGCGAAAAAGTCAGTAGCGCTTTCCCTCAGTTTTAAAAACATTGCGTTGGAAGCCATCAAAGCGTGCCCACTTGACATGCGAATGGCGTAGGTGTCCAATTACAAAAAAGTTGTAATTGGACACCTGCTTGATCTCACGCCAATTATGTGATAAGTGGGCATGCTGAGAAACAATCACGATCGAGAATTCTATCATAGATACGATTAGCTAATAATTTTACACTTAAATGTGCATTCACACGGCCTGCATGCTGTTAAGCAGCAAGCAAAAGATAGTTTTACAGACCTTCCAATGGAGCTAAGGTCCATGTCAGTTGCTGAGAGTTCATCTTTAATTCTGTAACAAAGATCACTTTCCATTCCTCTTGTCGCTACAGACTGAAGAGCTTCAATCCACCATGGAGACTGGATATCTACCTACATGTACGTTATATCACAGACATGTCATATACGCGTTAGTAGCTACTAACTTACAAATAAGATCATCTCCATTTTTGAGCATTACAAGTTGCATTTAATTGCATGTAATCTGCTACTACCAGGGCTCAGTTGTTCAAAGCATGATTAAACTCATCCCAGATTGGTGTAAATTTTAATTTCAGTTTTGCAACGTTTCAGAAAGGTTTCTTGTACATATTATCTATCCTCCACTGCTGCAATAGACTAATCTAAAACTCCACAAAACAACAGCAATGAGAACACTTTTATAGCAGAGAAATTTAAATTTTGATCAACGTTTGATTTAAAGGGACACTATCATGAGTTGCACATGTGTAAACTTTCGATCTCGGGTTTGGATTTACGTCTGGCAGACAATTTTATGCAGACTATGCAGTGAATGTACCTTGGCCAGTTGAGCTACTTAGTGCATCTTGACCACCAAATCATAACTTTTTTAAGAATCTAAATTCACTTAGCTTTCTCCTGATGTATCGAACATAGATTTCTGTGCAGATATGCTGGCGAAACAAGTTACCTATAACAGAATACTGCTGCTTTGACTTAATTTTAAACTTGAATGCAAGATGGATGGAAATATCACCTTTTTTCCTATCTCAGCAAGACTGGTTTGGGCAACATCAAGGTTTTGCTGTGCTGCAGTTACTTGAACATTAACCCTTGTTGTGTAGACATTTTTTAGTTCCTTCACCTGGAAAATATGAAATAAGGCTAGGTGACCACTCCTGAAGGCAACCACAATGATCCATTCTCAACAACACAACAAAAACGTAACTAATGCTTACTTCATCTGGTAGTTTATCATCTCTCAAAGTATTTGAACATCCTGGGTAGCGACGACTGAGGACATCAGATAGGTTGAACAGTGTGTGCAATTTCTGTGTAAAATAAGAACATTATATCAAGTCTTGATAAGCTTAATGTAAGTAAATATTGAGCATTGATCGATTGGTTGCAGAAGTTGAAAATTGATTTCTTTTTCAATTTTTCTTTANGAAAGTTAATATTTCTATTGTCAATCTCAGATGTTTAAAGTCAGCAACATGTCTGTGTGTTTGACTTACTTGTAGTGCATCAGTCCTAAATGTGTTTTCATGTTCTGTCCATGATCTCATTGCCTCTCTGTACATGTCAACAGCTCCTGGCCACTAAACAGTAAAATTATACACATGGATAGGTTACCAAAAATTGAGCACATACAGTCAGATGGATTTATAGACCTGCAGTTAAAATTGTAATCAAATTTGTAAGTGCTAAACCCTAACTCAAGGTAAACACAGCCAATTGCTTAATCAATAAGTTATGCAATGCAGTTTCTTTGTGTCACAGAAAACCTTGCAGCATGATGGAAATAACACAAGAGATTTGCGAATCACAAGTGGGGGAATCGATCAATTAGGCAGGCTTTACAACTGCTCTACCAACATCCCAAAACATTCTTAAGTTTGAACTCAGCTTGTATTGTAATTATAATTTTGTAAAAAAAACAAAAAAAACTAATGGAAGTAATTTACAAACCTCTTCCTTCAACATGTGAATCCCAGCAAGACCTGAAAAAAGATTTTGATATCAATACTGACTTCACTACTGTTTGAAAATAAATTTTCTCCAGTTCACCTCAAACTAGATTACTTTAAAAAAAATCTGTTATCAATGGAATTTGCATGCTTGCCACTTCATTAACTGGAAAGTGAGAAACCTTAGAATGAAACAATATAAATTCTCAACTAAATAAATTTTATTGCATGCATTTCATTTGCACTTTACTTAATTAACAAGACGCTAAAAACAAACCATTGAAAGCGAACAAGAGTTGCCGATGTGCTTCCTCACATTCCAGCTTAGCTTTTGTTATCAAACTTTCCAATAACTTGTCCATAGTGAGTGTACTAAAAAACATAGACATTCAAAAGACATCTGATTACTAAAAAACTTGATCAACATATACAGCATATAACTGCCTGAGAAACCCGGGCTATTCTTATTTTATTAAATCAATTGAGTAAACTACAATCACCTAATTAATGAGTTAATAGAATTTAACCTCAAGCCAGAAAAAAAAGCCCCTTCCATCAAAAACTTGATGAACATTTAATTTTGCAATGAAATATTAAACATCATCTGGGGGTTAATGTTAGCTATGGCCCTCTGATCTACCACTGAATTCCAAACACTAAAGTTGAGTGACTAATGGTGTCAGTTGTCACACCCAATTAAACCAACTCTTGCTACAACAGACGATTTGATTGCATTGGAAGGTAAAATGTCAGGCATTGATAGGTACGAATGGCAATATTCTGTCTGAAAAAAAACCCATGTTGTGCCATGTAAAAAATTATATGGTCCGCAACAAAGATCGGTCCACCCTTATCTCCTAAGGAAACCCTTATCATCTGATCTGAGACAAAAAAAAAATCATCAAATATGATATCATTGAAAGAGGTGGTGACCTGCTAACAATGATCATTCCAATCAATTTGTGGAGTTTCTCAATGAGTGACAACATGTCTTTTCCTGAAAAGAATGTCATCATTCCCACTTAGTAATGTTTGATGTTTTGGATTGCTCTCTAATCAATCAACCATTACGTCAAGCATGATGTCCAACTAGCAAAGACATTTCTTGGAGATTGGAAGCATTATATTACCATTACCTTTTCTGCATTGAAAGAAAACCTCCTCTCACTGCCTGAGGGTGACAACAAGCTTGGCGAAGCCGTAACAAGGGGTTCAACAACTACAATGAAATGAAAAAATAAAAAAGCTGCAACTTACACGTTAAATGACACTGGTAACCAATGCTGTCTTAGTTTGATATGTACAGTGTCATGTGCTCAGTCAGCAGTTGCACATGTGCAATGACCTGTTATGCAGTGTCTTGCTGAGTCACCATGTTGGAATGAAGTGTTAGGTGTTTTTCATCTTAGTGAATCTGGTTTGCAGAGATACATCAAAGTGTTTCCAAGTAGTTATCATATAATTTTCTGTAATTAGATGACAGGTTACCTGATGGACTGTGTGTCTGTCTATAGCGCTTAACATGGTGTCTGACTTCTCCCAGTTACCCAGCATCTAGGAACAAATTAAACGTCAAAGCAATCTATTACAACCATTGCTTTTGCTGAGGTTTTCTTCCTGCGGGGAATATAGCCAAGTAAATTCTGAGAAAAACTATCAGTAATCAGACTTGGAAATTTCCTAGAAGTTGCCTTGAAAAGAAATTAACTGAATGTTTGTTTATTAAACTGTCAAATGAAAATAATATACACATGTATTAATACCTTCATAGCAGTGCCTGCACACTCTTCATGTTGTCGGCGATAAAAATGCTGTTCAACAGGAGAAAATGTCAACCACTTAACTTTCTCATCCTGGTCTGGAAGCTGAATCTAAACATATTAAGTAAATACATTAAGAAAGTCTATAATAAATATTTAGACAAATGTTATTATAACTTTGTTTCAAACAGGCAGAAACATTCATTTGAAAATCACCTTTAGTCAGAAGTCCACATTTATGATTATACGTCTACATCTACGCTTAGTTAAGTCAGTAAAAATCGTGAGATATCACACCAACTATAAAAATCTGAATAAAAATATTACAATGGGATAATAAAAAATAAAAATAAAAAAATCTATTTTATAAAACTAATACAATGGAATATCAATAATTGTTAAATAGCAGACCTTTTTCCTGCTACAGCATGCTCATTCTTTGGCCAGTTCACAGTCTCATGATATCTAACAATGAAACTGTTTACTGCCAAATGCCATGACTGGGCAACATTGCAAAAACTATGACGTCAAACGGGAAACAGTTCACAGTTACCTGCGAAATGTTGACCGCAGTTGCACGTGATCAGAGCGTGCAGTTGAAGGTGGCCTGATGTTGTCGCTGGAATCTCAGCGCAATTTTCAAAATTTGCTTTTGTTTTGTTTTGCTATAAAACAAATCACTTAATGACTGGTCCCTTGGGGAACAGTGAATTTTGTTTCCCTCAAATCTCAATGTTTCCTGGGAAACATTGAGATTCACAGGAAACAAAATTCACTGTTAATTATTAACTAGCTTTGATTATGATAAAATATTTCTGTAGAGAAATTCGGTTATGAACTAATAATAAAATATTATGCTTCAGAGATGTCAAGCCAACCACTGTAAAGTAGCATTTTTCCTTCATCATTACTCATTGTGAATTATGCAACTTTAAATCAAAAGTTAGTGTCAGACAAATGAGCTTATTATACCTCATTGATAACATCCTTCTTTGCACTTCGCCACATGATCTTGGCCAGGATGTCATACAAGGCTTGCCTTTGTCCATTCCTGTATGGTTCATACAGTAAGGCCTTCCACCATTTTTGATGACAGTATGGATCAACACCAAGAAACAACAGCAGACCATAAATATCTAACCAAAGTCAATGGACATTTCATTGATATCATTAATGACAATGGGTGATAATCAGTTGGTCTTGGCGTAACCTCAATGTAACCTGCATAGTAAGCATTCCTGTACAAATGAAAGAGCTTTCTCCATATTCTGACTGTGCAAGGATTCATTCACCACCCCCATCACCACCTTCTTCATCAGTTTTGTGCTCTTGCCCCAATTTTCCGGGGACCAGTAAGCAAGGAACCCTTTGCTTGTATGGGAACACTTGCCGTACAGGTAACCTTCTAGCATTACCTTCTAGTCCCTTCTGTATTGGTGTTCCTGTGACACACCACCGGTGTACACTGCTCAAATGTAGTGCTACTTCTGCTGCCTTTAAAATACAAAACACTTTATTAACAACAGATTTACAACATATAAAAATTACTGTGTATATATATACTCTAATACTTAGCCAAAACAAAAAGTGGAGCGGGGTTGTTCAAAGCTTGATTAAGCTAACCCAGGATAAGCGAGAATTTTGATTTGAGTTTCGTTACTTTACCTTGAGGTTTTCTGTATATTGTTTGGCCCTTTGCTTTGAGTTTGAATAATCTCAAACTACATAAAACAAAAGCAGTGGAAAACATTTGTATAAAAGAATAATTTATACTTTGGTTAACTTTCAATCCTGGGTTAGCTTTAACCGGCTTCTGAATAACTATTTATTACAACAAGTTAGCCTGACATGAGCCCACGATCCAACCGAAAACCCAGCACTTGATCAGCAGTCAACTTTAAAAGAAGATACATGACCTTGATGAGCTCTAAACTTGAGCCCACGATATGGTCACATAATGCTGGTCAGCGGATACCTTGTTCTGACAGGTGTCAATTGACCATAACATGGATGTCCCATATCAAGGACGTACACTATAAACTAAGGCTGCATGTCTCTGTCAACCTATTAGCTGGAGTATGGTTGCTGCGACTCCACTGCCACCATTGTGTGTACGTGCCCACATGCAATACTGCTAGCCATGATAACCATGAGAAATCAATTCATGGGTTTCCTTTACTTTTATATGTGGGTATAAGCATGAAATCCAATGAACGAATTTTGTAAATACTAAGCAAGCAACATCAAAATAATTTATAGATTACTAATTATAACTAAATTATTAACAATAATTAATTATTAATGGTTAAAAATAATTAAATAATTATTCATAAAATTCCCTTAGTATTACGACAAAATATTTACAAGGCAAAAAATGATTAAAAAAGCAAAACACTTTTTTAACCATTTTTGAACATTTTTTAGCCTTGAAAAAATTTTGACAATTTTATAATGTAATATCTATTTATAACTGCCTGAAACTATCAATGACCAGTACTGACCTTGGCTGTTGTACTCTCCACCATCTGCGCCTCATCAAGACAAATGCGCCAAAACATGACCCCTGTTAGAGGGCTTGGTAGTGCTACATATCGCTTGTCGTATCGCATTGACCTCCCACCACTTCCTGCAAAACAAACGTACCCCATTCAAGAGGGACGTACAGGGGTATTCTNATGGATATTTCTAGAACTGCACAATGTGACAAGGTAAAACACAAAATTTTTCAAGTGATCTATATGTACACAGTTTACTTTCATCAGAAGTGCTTAAATTTGCATAATATTGGTTTCTGGACAAGTGGAATGTCCAAAATTGAGTAAATGGGAAATTCTGTACAAAAAGAATCTTTCACCATGTTTGAAGTCAAAAGTGAAGTTGATTTGAAATTCTTACATCCTAATGAGAAAGTTAATATTTCTATTGTCAATCTCAGATGTTTAAAGTCAGCAACATGTCTGTGTGTTTGACTTACTTGTAGTGCATCAGTCCTAAATGTGTTTTCATGTTCTGTCCATGATCTCATTGCCTCTCTGTACATGTCAACAGCTCCTGGCCACTAAACAGTAAAATTATACACATGGATAGGTTACCAAAAATTGAGCACATACAGTCAGATGGATTTATAGACCTGCAGTTAAAATTGTAATCAAATTTGTAAGTGCTAAACCCTAACTCAAGGTAAACACAGCCAATTGCTTAATCAATAAGTTATGCAATGCAGTTTCTTTGTGTCACAGAAAACCTTGCAGCATGATGGAAATAACACAAGAGATTTGCGAATCACAAGTGGGGGAATCGATCAATTAGGCAGGCTTTACAACTGCTCTACCAACATCCCAAAACATTCTTAAGTTTGAACTCAGCTTGTATTGTAATTATAATTTTGTAAAAAAAACAAAAAAAACTAATGGAAGTAATTTACAAACCTCTTCCTTCAACATGTGAATCCCAGCAAGACCTGAAAAAAGATTTTGATATCAATACTGACTTCACTACTGTTTGAAAATAAATTTTCTCCAGTTCACCTCAAACTAGATTACTTTAAAAAAAATCTGTTATCAATGGAATTTGCATGCTTGCCACTTCATTAACTGGAAAGTGAGAAACCTTAGAATGAAACAATATAAATTCTCAACTAAATAAATTTTATTGCATGCATTTCATTTGCACTTTACTTAATTAACAAGACGCTAAAAACAAACCATTGAAAGCGAACAAGAGTTGCCGATGTGCTTCCTCACATTCCAGCTTAGCTTTTGTTATCAAACTTTCCAATAACTTGTCCATAGTGAGTGTACTAAAAAACATAGACATTCAAAAGACATCTGATTACTAAAAAACTTGATCAACATATACAGCATATAACTGCCTGAGAAACCCGGGCTATTCTTATTTTATTAAATCAATTGAGTAAACTACAATCACCTAATTAATGAGTTAATAGAATTTAACCTCAAGCCAGAAAAAAAAGCCCCTTCCATCAAAAACTTGATGAACATTTAATTTTGCAATGAAATATTAAACATCATCTGGGGGTTAATGTTAGCTATGGCCCTCTGATCTACCACTGAATTCCAAACACTAAAGTTGAGTGACTAATGGTGTCAGTTGTCACACCCAATTAAACCAACTCTTGCTACAACAGACGATTTGATTGCATTGGAAGGTAAAATGTCAGGCATTGATAGGTACGAATGGCAATATTCTGTCTGAAAAAAAACCCATGTTGTGCCATGTAAAAAATTATATGGTCCGCAACAAAGATCGGTCCACCCTTATCTCCTAAGGAAACCCTTATCATCTGATCTGAGACAAAAAAAAAATCATCAAATATGATATCATTGAAAGAGGAGGTGACCTGCTAACAATGATCATTCCAATCAATTTGTGGAGTTTCTCAATGAGTGACAACATGTCTTTTCCTGAAAAGAATGTCATCATTCCCACTTAGTAATGTTTGATGTTTTGGATTGCTCTCTAATCAATCAACCATTACGTCAAGCATGATGTCCAACTAGCAAAGACATTTCTTGGAGATTGGAAGCATTATATTACCATTACCTTTTCTGCATTGAAAGAAAACCTCCTCTCACTGCCTGAGGGTGACAACAAGCTTGGCGAAGCCGTAACAAGGGGTTCAACAACTACAATGAAATGAAAAAATAAAAAAGCTGCAACTTACACGTTAAATGACACTGGTAACCAATGCTGTCTTAGTTTGATATGTACAGTGTCATGTGCTCAGTCAGCGGTTGCACATGTGCAATGACCTGTTATGCAGTGTCTTGCTGAGTCACCATGTTGGAATGAAGTGTTAGGTGTTTTTCATCTTAGTGAATCTGGTTTGCAGAGATACATCAAAGTGTTTCCAAGTAGTTATCATATAATTTTCTGTAATTAGATGACAGGTTACCTGATGGACTGTGTGTCTGTCTATAGCGCTTAACATGGTGTCTGACTTCTCCCAGTTACCCAGCATCTAGGAACAAATTAAACGTCAAAGCAATCTATTACAACCATTGCTTTTGCTGAGGTTTTCTTCCTGCGGGGAATATAGCCAAGTAAATTCTGAGAAAAACTATCAGTAATCAGACTTGGAAATTTCCTAGAAGTTGCCTTGAAAAGAAATTAACTGAATGTTTGTTTATTAAACTGTCAAATGAAAATAATATACACATGTATTAATACCTTCATAGCAGTGCCTGCACACTCTTCATGTTGTCGGCGATAAAAATGCTGTTCAACAGGAGAAAATGTCAACCACTTAACTTTCTCATCCTGGTCTGGAAGCTGAATCTAAACATATTAAGTAAATACATTAAGAAAGTCTATAATAAATATTTAGACAAATGTTATTATAACTTTGTTTCAAACAGGCAGAAACATTCATTTGAAAATCACCTTTAGTCAGAAGTCCACATTTATGATTATACGTCTACATCTACGCTTAGTTAAGTCAGTAAAAATCGTGAGATATCACACCAACTATAAAAATCTGAATAAAAATATTACAATGGGATAATAAAAAATAAAAATAAAAAAATCTATTTTATAAAACTAATACAATGGAATATCAATAATTGTTAAATAGCAGACCTTTTTCCTGCTACAGCATGCTCATTCTTTGGCCAGTTCACAGTCTCATGATATCTAACAATGAAACTGTTTACTGCCAAATGCCATGACTGGGCAACATTGCAAAAACTATGACGTCAAACGGGAAACAGTTCACAGTTACCTGCGAAATGTTGACCGCAGTTGCACGTGATCAGAGCGTGCAGTTGAAGGTGGCCTGATGTTGTCGCTGGAATCTCAGCGCAATTTTCAAAATTTGCTTTTGTTTTGTTTTGCTATAAAACAAATCACTTAATGACTGGTCCCTTGGGGAACAGTGAATTTTGTTTCCCTCAAATCTCAATGTTTCCTGGGAAACATTGAGATTCACAGGAAACAAAATTCACTGTTAATTATTAACTAGCTTTGATTATGATAAAATATTTCTGTAGAGAAATTCGGTTATGAACTAATAATAAAATATTATGCTTCAGAGATGTCAAGCCAACCACTGTAAAGTAGCATTTTTCCTTCATCATTACTCATTGTGAATTATGCAACTTTAAATCAAAAGTTAGTGTCAGACAAATGAGCTTATTATACCTCATTGATAACATCCTTCTTTGCACTTCGCCACATGATCTTGGCCAGGATGTCATACAAGGCTTGCCTTTGTCCATTCCTGTATGGTTCATACAGTAAGGCCTTCCACCATTTTTGATGACAGTATGGATCAACACCAAGAAACAACAGCAGACCATAAATATCTAACCAAAGTCAATGGACATTTCATTGATATCATTAATGACAATGGGTGATAATCAGTTGGTCTTGGCGTAACCTCAATGTAACCTGCATAGTAAGCATTCCTGTACAAATGAAAGAGCTTTCTCCATATTCTGACTGTGCAAGGATTCATTCACCACCCCCATCACCACCTTCTTCATCAGTTTTGTGCTCTTGCCCCAATTTTCCGGGGACCAGTAAGCAAGGAACCCTTTGCTTGTATGGGAACACTTGCCGTACAGGTAACCTTCTAGCATTACCTTCTAGTCCCTTCTGTATTGGTGTTCCTGTGACACACCACCGGTGTACACTGCTCAAATGTAGTGCTACTTCTGCTGCCTTTAAAATACAAAACACTTTATTAACAACAGATTTACAACATATAAAAATTACTGTGTATATATATACTCTAATACTTAGCCAAAACAAAAAGTGGAGCGGGGTTGTTCAAAGCTTGATTAAGCTAACCCAGGATAAGCGAGAATTTTGATTTGAGTTTCGTTACTTTACCTTGAGGTTTTCTGTATATTGTTTGGCCCTTTGCTTTGAGTTTGAATAATCTCAAACTACATAAAACAAAAGCAGTGGAAAACATTTGTATAAAAGAATAATTTATACTTTGGTTAACTTTCAATCCTGGGTTAGCTTTAACCGGCTTCTGAATAACTATTTATTACAACAAGTTAGCCTGACATGAGCCCACGATCCAACCGAAAACCCAGCACTTGATCAGCAGTCAACTTTAAAAGAAGATACATGACCTTGATGAGCTCTAAACTTGAGCCCACGATATGGTCACATAATGCTGGTCAGCGGATACCTTGTTCTGACAGGTGTCAATTGACCATAACATGGATGTCCCATATCAAGGACGTACACTATAAACTAAGGCTGCATGTCTCTGTCAACCTATTAGCTGGAGTATGGTTGCTGCGACTCCACTGCCACCATTGTGTGTACGTGCCCACATGCAATACTGCTAGCCATGATAACCATGAGAAATCAATTCATGGGTTTCCTTTACTTTTATATGTGGGTATAAGCATGAAATCCAATGAACGAATTTTGTAAATACTAAGCAAGCAACATCAAAATAATTTATAGATTACTAATTATAACTAAATTATTAACAATAATTAATTATTAATGGTTAAAAATAATTAAATAATTATTCATAAAATTCCCTTAGTATTACGACAAAATATTTACAAGGCAAAAAATGATTAAAAAAGCAAAACACTTTTTTAACCATTTTTGAACATTTTTTAGCCTTGAAAAAATTTTGACAATTTTATAATGTAATATCTATTTATAACTGCCTGAAACTATCAATGACCAGTACTGACCTTGGCTGTTGTACTCTCCACCATCTGCGCCTCATCAAGACAAATGCGCCAAAACATGACCCCTGTTAGAGGGCTTGGTAGTGCTACATATCGCTTGTCGTATCGCATTGACCTCCCACCACTTCCTGCAAAACAAACGTACCCCATTCAAGAGGGACGTACAGGGGTATTCTCATGATGCATGATTAGCTGATTTTATTTTCTGTGAACAAGAATTTAGCAAATTACCCAGATTCGTGATCTGTGACCTGAAGGTCTTGCATGACCCACGAAGAACTTGAATTATTAACCGTTATTTGTGATTTCACCACTCTATTTTACATGATTTTGAGACGCCAGCCATCCGAATGGTTAGAGTAGTCTATCGAGAGTGACTTAAGTATAACATTTACAATATGGAGCCTTGACTTAGCCTTTCATGATTTAGCTTCCTTCAAACACTCTTTCGAGTGTAAGAGCAGGTTATTAAAAAGAGCACCTCACTTGCTTATTTTCATGATTCAGAAAAAACGGAATCTTTATATCCATGATCCTCTATTTTTTCCATTCGTGAACTGTGCCAGAGACCCCCCCTGTACAACCCTCATGTCACACATGTTATTGTCAATACATATTATTATAAAANTGATCCTCTATTTTTTCCATTCGTGAACTGTGCCAGAGACCCCCCCCCCACCCCCTGTACAACCCTCATTCAACAAATCCAGATCAGTTTCCACAAATCTATAAACCTGCAACACAAAAAGAGTTTTTCATTTGGGATGTTTTGATGCGAGAAAAGAATGCAGACAGAACAAAGATCTTAAAGAATCAGTCAAAAAAATTTTTAAGAGACTTAGGTTGACCTGGACACCCAACTGCAGTTGATGGATTCTTGCACTCACTCCTTCATCCTTCAAAGAGAAGTCAGAAACCACCCATAGTGTCATGAAAACATCATGACAGCCATATACAAAAGTATGATTATTCATAGTTTTCACTGACCTTGCTTACATCCTAAATGAAAGAAGTCTGATCTCAAGGTTGAATACGTTGTCAAGATTATGTCATGGTCGGCAAGGACTTCTGGGGGAACAAATCCCATTTTTGCCACACCCTTGTATACCTTGAAATGTTTCAGAAATAACAGCGAGCAAGATTACAAGGTGTCACTTATGTCACAATATCAATTTTTAAAATCATTTTAATTTGTGATGGGCAAAATTAAAATAATAGTTCATATGTAGTACATTACCAACCAAGTTATATCAAATAAACCAAATGTAAACAAGAAAGATCAAGGCAGATTGTTTAGGCTGGAGTAAACTTGAAAAAATTGGCCATTGTATTCAAGATATGCCCATCTTTTATGTAGCCCTTAAAAATTCATTTTAGAAACTCTAATTCTTCTTACCAGCAGTTTAAGAGTTGAGGGTTTTGTGTGCCTGGAAATCTCATCCACCCACTGCTGGGCAATGGGAGCAGGAGAGATGATCAGAGTTGCCCGAGATGGAATGGCTACCTGCAATCAAATTAAAAAATTTGCCAGTCTGCATCTATTTAGCCAACCAACCAACCAGACAAAATCCAAATGTACAATTAGGGCTCAACAGACTTTGGCCAAAAGTAGAAAGTACTGTAACAGTTACAGGGCTTGAAAAAAGTCCTGTCTGGTCATCCAGGAAACCTAGATTTTCCTGCTGGGCTTGCAAATGAATTTTTATTGTCACTTTCTTGATGGGCAAGAACCCAGGCAGGTCGTCTGCCAACTAAATAAAAAGAGTAAACATCTTTCCCATGGCAGCAAAGTTTGAGAACTGATTAACCCACGGGCAAGTTGGAATTCAATTTTTTTGCGAGCCCTGTGTTAGTACTACAACTACTTCAAAGGGGCAATAATGTAGTCAGGTTGCAGCCAGCAAATTAGTGTCTGGCTTTTGTACTGGTTGAAGGAATGCTTATCACGAGCTGAAAACTCAGTAGACACAAAGACTTGTGGTCATTTGAAGGTGTTAAGCTCGGAGAAGCCAGTAAGATGTGTTAATATGCTGGCTATATTTTTCCTCAGCCAAACATCCTAAAAGGATATCTTTACCTGGTTTACTGCACAATGTGGACACAAAAACTTGCCCGGACAGTCATATTGAAGACACACAGCATGGAAAACTGCTTGACAACTGCAACAATGCAATAGTTTGTCGCCACAACGGGCAATATTTATGCCACAGATGCATTGGCATTTTATAACTGAAGTGCGTTTTTCTACAGATGTAGCAGTTACTGAACTTGCAATCTGTTCATCTCTTTGAAGTTCTGTTACAAGGTTGTCTGTCTGATTACAAGACATTGTACTGTGCGCAGGCATACATGTAGAGCTGTTACCATCTCCAGTGACTGCTACTGTATCGCCATCGCTATTACCAGTGCATAATGTCAGGGTACTTTTGGAACAAGATGACCCTTGGTTGCAACTGACTTCTGTAGGATCATTGTCAATTTTGTCACAACTACAGTCTGGTTTATCTGCATTTCTGTCAGTACCCTCTTGGTTACAACAGTCACATTCTGTAGGTTTCATTTTAGAGCACTCCTGAACATTAGTAACTGATGCAGACTCAATTTCTGCCTCTCTCTCACATCCAGTCTTTGATGCTGTGCCGAGTTTGCTAACATTTGAGTACTGGTCAGCTGTTGTAGTGTTGTCCAGTAACTTGTGTTCCGATGAAGGTTTACGATGACACAAAATACATGCAATGACCTCTACTGTCTTTCCAAGCCCCATTTCATCTGCTAAGATTCCTCCAAGAGGTGGCAATGGTGAGCAAAATCTTTCTTTTGTGAGCCTATAAGTTAGGAAAATAAATTTATCAGACAAACATTTAATTCACACACTTCTTTCAATGAAAATTCACCATGCAAGGGAATTCTGTCATCAATCTGGGTGCCAAATGTTTATCCTGGTAGTGAATACATAAGTAGTATTTCAAACTCTCTGGGACTCCTCTCACTAGAAACAGCTAATGATAGGAAGCAATGTTGGTTATTTGGGTAATTGTAAAGAACAGCTCCCAAAAAACCTGCAGGTCACCTGTAGGCTGTCGGTCAATTGTCTGTCAATAATATGTTGGTCGTCTGTCAGCTATCTTTCAATTGCCTGTTGGTCGACTGTGGGCCTACTGCTGTGAAAAAGATGGCCGACACAGAACAAAACATGGACCAACTGTCAGTAACCTGTCAGTAGGCTTGTTGGTAACCTGTTGGTAATCTGTTGGCCGACAGTTGATCGACAGTTGGTTTCGGGAGCTCTTCCTCTCTTCCTCACAATTGCCACTATTTGTGCATGTGCACACTGTCCTGTGCCATAATTCAAAATACTATCAGCAATAATCACATTTGCACTCTGATAAGCTGATTTGCTGAATGTCTCATAACGTAAGAATTCAAAAGTTATTACAGAGCCCTGTCAGATTTTATTTAACAAACTGTTATACCTTCCAGTGTAAGGATTAAAGTATATCAGCTTTCCGTCCAAACTCTTGACTTCCCGCCATAATGGGTGAATTGTTTCAGCTGTAAGGACATAAAAAAAATCAAAAATCAAAATCCAAGAGATCTCAGACTCTAATATTACCTCCTTGGCCCTAAAAAAAGTTGTTTAAAGTAGAGCTCTACAAACATTCAACCACAAAAATGTACCAAATGTCGAAAAAACTTTCCTTTGAAAACACCAAAACTCAGCCAAAATATAACTGAAAACGTATTTTATGCACTTTCATTTTTATGGTCTGGGAGATTTGGCAACCCATATAGGAGCCTGGGAGATTTATTCTGTATACCGAAGACTCCTGGATAATATGGGAGAGAGTTAGCATAGATGCATTTAGTCTAAAGATACTGTTTGAGAAAGAGTACAAACCTTGCAGTAAAGTAAAAAGATCTCATTTTACCAAGTGAAACTCGCAGAAATTATATTGCTAACATACCCAGTTGCTTTGTGTGTGATGTTGCTTGACTGCCTTGTTCTCTTCGTAGCATCCACTCTACTGCACGTCTTTGGTATCCTCTTAAAACAGGTTTCAGAAGAGGATGCTGCACGTCAAAAAAATTTACTCCACTTGATCTGTTGAGCTCTGCATTACAGTCACACTTGCAGTCATTGTGTGTGCTGCATGCACGGCAGAGTGGATGGTCAGACACTAAAGAGTCTTGGAGCAGTGTGATATCTCCTTTTGCCAAATCAGCAGCGCAAGTTCTCTCTTGAACAGACTTTATAGCATCATACAGTTCATCAAAACTTTTGTCCATTACTAGATTATTACAGTCTTGTGAGAGCAAATCATGCTCTACAGGAAAGTCATAAAACCAGTCCATTAACAATTTCATCATCTTGTCTGTTTTCCTATTTGTCACATCAACACTAGCAAATGGAAGTTTAGTGAAGCTGCTCTCATTTAAACACACCACAACTTCCCAGCTGTCTTTTAAAATATGCTGCTCCGGCATTAACACAAGGGATACAACGCCTTTGCTTTGCAGGTAGACTAAAGCGTCTAGTTTATCCTTTGAGACGGACGGAACTACAGCCTTAAATGATACCTGTCTCAAAGAATCATTGTTTAGACCATTCGTGTTTTCTGTTAATGGGCATTCTTGCTCAAAAGATAGCCTTACAATAACACAAGAATGACAGCCAGCGGTGCTCCAAAGCTCATCAGCATCAGAAGACACATTTGTTCCATTGACTGTTCTTACTTCATCTTCTTGAGTCTTGTTGGTGCACAAACTAATACTGAACAGACCCAGTTGGCAAACACAGCCATTAGGATAACTGTTCTCCAGCTTCAACTCGATGTTTTTGCTTCGATCGTCAGCTTGCCGCTTACCTCTTTTCCTAGAATTCAAAATTCTCGAAGAGTTGTTGCTTTCAGTAGCTGGAGAGGAGTAAATACCAGTTGTTGCCGTTGATTCATCACCGTCCGGGTCAATGCCGCCATGTGCCTGCATGAGTTGATCGAACATATTCCACGTCATTTTAGTTCGCTTTTCTTCACTGAATCTTTCTGGTGGTTTCTGTTTCCTTTTCCTACTTGACATCTTGAGAAAATTCTCGTTTCTGTTTAATAGAGTTCTTGTCTGTAGCAAAACATCCAACTAGTTCAAAATTACATAATGACCGAGAGTAAAATGACTATTGTGTGGTGTATGCCACACCAAACTGTCTCAAGCAAATTTGTGCCCAGGCTCCACGCGTACCTTGGTCTGTCTGTTGCGTGGCTTTTGCTTGCATGGAAAACTTGAACGGCACACAATTATTTTCTTTTACAAACAAAACTTTAACAGTTAGAGAGAAGAAGGAGAACCATTGTTTTACGGCTACACATATATCCATACTAATGTATGGTCCCGAGTAAGTTAGTTCAGCGGGCCAATAACTAAAATCTACCAATCAGATTGCTCCATATTGGCGGTCCAATATTCCCTCAGTATTGGAGAGGGCACTGTCCCGAATGATCCCACACGATCACTCTTGAAGATTTTTTTGGCTGTTTTATTTCTTACGTCTCCAAAATAACTTGCTTTTTAAAAACAAAAAAGATTCCTTTACTTTTTCTATCAACTCTCTTTCCCTTCTGTTTTACTTAACATCAGATGTGGGTGTACGCCTGGTCGGCTCCCAATCAGAATTACGCTCTTTTTCCCAGTCCGTGATTGTGGCATTTTTCCTAAACATACTGAGTCGGGTAATAAATCTCTTGTTAATCAAGCTTGCTCGGAACCGTGTGGCCTGCGAACGCAGACGTATTTCCGGCTGTCACTTGATTCCGCCGAAAAATAATTATAAATAGAGATAAAAATAAAATTTTTCGGCGGAATCAAGTGACAGACGGAAATACGTCTGCGTTCGCAGGCTAGGAACCGTGCTGGGAGAGGTGAGGGACGAGATCAGGCACACGTACATATGATAATTTAAGTTTTCTTTTCTCACTGTTTATATATTCAAAGCACACAATCGCAACGAGTATTAAATGCATTCCTTTTTGTGCAAAGCATAATTTTCACATTTGGAAAGAGGTGAGAAAAAATGACACACCCATTTTTGAGTTATTTTTTTACAAAAAAATACCTCTTAGTCGGCGCGTCGAGTATGTTACGGGTCAATGGGTGAGTGAGTGAGTGAGTGAGTGAGAGATG